GAAACTTTTTTTTTTACTTCTTATTTATCTATTTGTTTATTTTATTTTATTTTATTTTTATTATTTAGATTTTTAAATTATACCATTGACCCTTGGAAAACACAGTTAGGGGCCTGTGTAGTTGAAAATATACATAATGTCAGCTGTCCACATGCACGGATTCCCATCTGCCAGTTAACTCTTGACAACACAGGTCAGAAGTGTGCAGGTCAGTTTCAGTCAGTTGAACTTTGTGGGTTATTTGAATATAAGTAGGCCCATGAAGTTCAAACATGCATTGTTCTAGGGCCAACTGTAGTTGACATTCAATATTATAGTAGTTTCAGGTGTACAGCATAGTGGTTAGATATTTATATACTTTACAAAGCGATCACTCCAGTAAGTCTAGTACCCATCTGATACCATATAGAGTTATTACAATATTATTGACTATATTCCCTCTGCTGTACTTTACATCCCTATGACTGTTTTTATAACTCCAAATTTGTACTTCTTAATTCCTTCACCCTTTTCACCCATCCCCTCAACTGCCCTCCCATCTGGCAATCATCAGTTTGTTCTCTGTATCTATGAGTCTTTTTCTGTTTTACTTGTTGATTTTGTTCTTTAGATTCCATATATATGTGAGATCATATGGTATTTGTATTTCTCTGTCTGACTTTTTTCACTTAGCATTAATACTCTCTAGGTCCATCCATGTTGTTCCAAATGGCAAGATTTCATTCTTTATTTCTTGCTATTCTATTGTACATATGTACCACCTCTTCTTTATCAAATTGTCTATCAATAGACACTAAGGTTGCTTCTGTATCTTGGCTATTGTAAATAATGCTGCAATAAACATAGGGGAGCATATGTCTTTTCAAATTAGTGTTTTAGATTTCTTCAGATAAATACCCAGAAGTGGTATCATATGATAGTTCTGCTTTTAATTTTTCAAGGAACTTCCATGTAGTTTTCTTGATTAGTCTGGCTAAAGGTTTATCAATTTTGTTTATTTTTTCAAAGAACTAGATCTTAATTTCATTGGTCTTTCCTATTTTTTTTTAAAGTTTCTATTTCATTTATTTCCACCCTGATCTTTATTATTTCCTTCTACTCACTTTGGGCTTTGTTGTTGTTCTTTTTCTAGTTCTTTTAGGTATAGGGTTAGATTGTTTAGTTGAGATTTTTCTTGTTTTTTGAAGTAGACCTGTCTATGAATTTCCCTCTTAGAACTGCTTTTGCTGTGTCCCATAGATTTTGGATCATTGTGTTTTTATTTTCATTTGCCTCAGATTTTTAAAATTTCTTCCTTGATCTTGTTGTTAACACATTCATTATTTAGTAGCATGTTGTTTAGCCTCCTCATGTTTGTGTTTTTCCAGTTATTTTTTTTGTGTATGTGTGTAATTGATTTCTAGTTTTATGCCATTGTGGTTGGAGAAGATGCTTAGTATGATTTCTGGCTTCTTAAATTTGTTGAGACTGGTTTTATGGCCTTACATATTGTTATCCTGGAAAATGTCCCATGCACATATGAGATGAATGTATATTCTGTTGATTTTAGGTGGGACGTTCTGTAAATATCTATTAAGTTTATCTGGCTTAAAGTATCATTTAAGACTACTGTTTCATTGTTGAGTTTCTGTCTGGATGATTTATCCATTGATGAAGTGGAGTGTTGAAGTCTCCTACTATTATTACTGTACTACTGTAGATATCTTCCTTTATATCTGTTAATATTTGCTTAATATATTTATGTGCTTCTATGTTGGGTGTGTAGATGTTTACAAGAGTTATATCCTCTTGTTGGATTATTCCTTTATCATTATGAAATGTCCTTCATTGTCTCTTTGTTTTGAAGTCTATTTTATCTACTATAAGTATTGCTACCCTGGCTTTCTTTTTGTTTCATTCGCATGAAATACCATTTTTTTTAAATCCCTTAACTTTTAGTCTGTGTGTGTCTTTTGATCTAAAGTGAGTCTCTTTAGGCAGCATATGCATAGGTCTTATTTTTTTTTCTAAATCCATTTAGCCACCCTATGTCTTTTGATTGGTACAGTTAGTCTATATATGCTTAAAGTAATTACTAATAGGTATGTGGTTATTGCCCAAATGAAACCACTTGAATGAGAAATACAACATTTGTAATGAATGATTTGGTGGAGGGATAAACAGCAAATTAGATTTAGAATTACTGAATGGGAAGATAAACCTGAGGAAATTACTGACAATGAATCACAGATAAAAAATGAGAGATCATGATAGATTTGGGGAAGAGCAGCAGAAAACCACACATATGTCTAAAAGGATTTCTACGAGAGACTGGAGAGAATGAGGAAGATGAAATACTAAAAGAAATCATGCATAGAAGTTTTTAAAATGGTAAAAAGATGTGAATCTTAAAATTCAAGACTCATGAGAAAGAATTAGAAATGTAACGAAAACAAGTTCACATTATAGTGAACCACAGGAGGCTAAAGTCCAAGAGGAGATCTTAAAAACCACCAGAAAGAAGAAAAAAATTTATGAACCAACAGTTATCCTCCCTGCCAATTTCTCAACTGCAATTAAGAATACAGAAAATAATGGCAATATCTTCAAGGTATTGAGGAAAAATAATCGCCAATCTAGAATTCTGTATCCCACTAAACTATCACTCCAAAGGAAGGGTAAAATAAAGATTTTCAGAAAATAGATGGAGGGAATTTGCCATTCACAAAATCTTGCTGAAAGAATTACCAGTGGATATACTTCATAAAAAAAGGAAAATTATATAGAGTAACAAAATGGGCCTAGAACAATGTGATATGAAACAAAAGGAGTAAATTAGTGAAATACAGCATCTGATCCCAAGGCCAAGGATTTGATTACATTGATAGTGACTGGCATGCTAGAAGTTGCAGACTACATTAGCAATCCTTTCTACCAGTGCTCACATGAGTCCAAATATTGTCTGTTCTTGGTGTCATTATGTACTAAATTCTCCTTGAAAATACCTATGCTTTGATGTTCAGGTCACAAGTTATGCCTCACTTTGTAAGGGTAATTATGAGATTACAGCTGACAAACAGATTCCAGAGACTCAATTGTAACATATACCATCTTGGAAATTATTGAACTGGGAGGCTTCAGCTTCTGAGACCAAACCTGTCCCCTGCCTTATGCATCTTCTAAGTATGAAGTTGTCTGTGTTGGGAAACCCAGGCCTGTGGGTGGAGCATTGTGGTCTTGAAATCCAGAATATGGTTCCTCATTTGGTTCTACAAATTTGATTGTATCTCACCCTGTGTGTCCTTCTCTGCCGCCAGAGCCTGCCGCCGTGTTTGCCAAGGAACAGCCATCACACAAGGAGGTACAGGCTGAAGTGGGGGCCAGCGCCACACTGAGCTGTGAGGTAGCCAAAGCCCAGACAGAAGTGACGTGGTACAAGGACGGCAAGAAGCTGAGTGGGAGCTCGAAGGTGCACATGGATGCCAAGGGCTGTGCCCGGCAGCTGGTGCTGCAGCAGGCGAGGAAGGCAGATGGTGGGGAGTACAGCTGTGAGGCCGCGGGCCAGAGGGTCTCCTTCCACCTGAATGTCACAGGTGAGTTCCTTGAAGTCTTTCTTATGTTCCTTAGGTTAATTATTAGGGCATGAAGGTGTGTTGGGGTGCCACCTCTGAGATCCTATATGTGTTCATTTGAGTTTAACGGAACATATACAACTTTACAAAATTGACAGTATTGGGTGTGGATAAGGATGTGGAGAACCCAAACTCTTACACACTGGTGATGGGAATGTAAGTGGGTACAGTTTGGAAAGCTCTTTGGAAATGTCCGCTAAAGCCCAGATGCAGGTCTACCTATGTCCCTACCCATGTGACCCAAAGATATATGCAAGAGTATTCATAGCAGCTTTACTCGTCATATCCCCAGATTGGAAACAACCCAAATGAACCACAAGAGGAAAAGGAAAAATAAATCATAATGTCATATAATAGAATACTGTACATCAATGCACAAGAACAGATTGCTGCTCCATGTAACAACATGTTAGGTCAGACAGACATTATGTTGAGTGGAAAGAAAGAGGCCCAAAGGACATATAACATGATTCGTGCACATGAGATCAAAGAACAGGCAAAAGTAGTTGGTGACAGAGTTCAGGATGGTGGTGACTTTTGAGGGAGTGATCATCAGTGGATGAGGAGCTGGAAATGTTAGGTTTGCTGATATGTTTGAGTGCATGGGGATAGGCATGCCTAAACTTCATTAAGCTGTACAAATAAATTAGCACACATTATGTGTGAGTTACGCCTAGAAAAAATGTAGATTAGTTTTTGGAGGACATACCATGTGCCAAACTCTGCAGGTATAAGAGTAACCAACCCGTCCTGCCCACAGAAGCTGACTGTCACCTGGGAAAGACAATGAATGGAAGTGACAGGCGCCATAATAACCTCAGCTGCCCTCAGTCAGGAATTGTTCTTGGTCGGGACATCTCGCAAATGTACACTTGAAGTTCTGTGATAGGAGACATGTTTGCAAACACAACTCTAACACCCCACTGGACACTAATACCCTACTAGGCACATGACTCCAAGGAGAAACTTCACTGAACTCTGAAGCTTTGGTGCCTGTGACATAGTCTGGTACCAACTTTGTATCTCTGATGCTGTGTGTCCCTCCCTGTCCCCAGAGCCCACAGTGATGTTTGCTAAGGAGCAGCAGACACACAGTAGGGTGCAGGCTGAGGTGGGAGCCAGCGCCATGCTGAGCTGTGAGGTGGCCCAGACGCAGACGGAGGTAACGTGGTACAAGGACGGCAAGAAACTGAGTGGGAGCTCGAAGATGCGCGTGGAGGCCAAGGGCTGCACCCGGCGCCTGGTGCTGCAGCAGACAGGGAAGGCAGACAGCGGGGAGTACAGCTGTGAGGCTGGGGGCCAGAGGGTCTCCTTCCACCTGGATGTCACAGGTGGGTTCTTTGATGACACTAACTTGGTCTCCTGTGTAGATAATGATAGACTTGTTTTACAGCCTGATACACCCTGGGGCTCTTTCCAGTAGATCTCATCTCTTCTGGCCTTCCATCCTTTCATCTCCCATTTCATACCTATGGCTGGGCCAGGGGAGGCTGGATGGCAGAGTGTGAACGAAAGGGAGAGCTATTCCTGTACACCATGAGTGCTGCCCCAGACAGTTTTGCTCAGTCCTAGTTCCCAGCACCTGCCTAAAACCTCCCGGCTTTTCCTTGGTGTCTGGGACTCTGGCTCTACCTTGCACTTGGCATTTGAGATAGACCAGGTATCTCTTACCTGTGTTATGTGAATTTCCTCCTCTCAGATGTCCTGGCAGCTCCCAAATACCCACACCCAGCAACAGGTGCAATTTACTCTAGGGAGACACGTTTGAATTTCATTAAACCAGAATAAGGGCAAGTTCCTGGGTGTGGGTATTCCCATTCACACTTGGACTTATCCCAAGACTGAACTGTGGGTTAGCAAAGTTTTAGTTACTTAGGACACTCTTCCTTCATTGCACGTGAATGTAGAAGTTACCTCTACATTCGCATCACAAAATCTCAGTCCTGTTTTCTTGCAGTATCTGTGCCAAGTAAAGACCAGAAGATTGGCAGGTGTGTGTCATGGATAGGCACGTGTGAAGTCTGGAATTCTCTTTGTAGAGCACATCTTGGTTTCCTTTTGTCTCCTATTAGACACTCTATGTCAGAATCCCTTCAGAATCTGATGTGTAGATTTAGACATAGAGAGGAATAAGGAGCTTCTCCTGCACCATATGCTTTGTTGAAGACCAGTTGCTATACTGACAGCACCTGACTGCTAAAACAGTATTTATTTCATAGCATTTCCTAATGTCTCATGTGTGTCTGTCCATTTCTGGCTGGGTCACAGAGATGTCTGTAAATTAACTTTATTTTTCTTTTGTTAAGAGAGGTTAACCTCAAATTGAGGTACACTGTGGTTCCTCATTGACTTATAGGTGTCACTACATAACAGTTTGGTGTTGTATCTATATACGGTAATTTGTGGGTATGGATAATACCAAAAGATTCACTGCATATATCTTTTATTGTGATTTTAGGAAAATATGATAAATTATTTTACAGTAATTAAAAGAGATTTGACAAATGGACTAAATTCTTATAAAACTGTATGAAAAGTGACTTAAGATTTCAACAACTCGAGTAGTCCTATAACATTTTAAATAAATAGAACCATAATAAATAATCTTCTCATAAAGAAAGTTGAAACCCTAGTGACTCTACTGGAAAATTATTTGAAATATTCTGGAAAGAAATTTTTGCATGTTCATGAAGATTCTTCTAGAGATAGAAAAAGAGGTACAGTCTATGACTTATTTCATGGCGCTAGCATAACATGTATCATCAATATCTGACAGAATAGGGAGAATTAAAATTATAGGCAAACCTGTGGATGTCAAAATCTGAAGCAAAATATTATCAAAATAAATTCAGGACTGTATTAAGAAGATGGTACATAGTCCAGGATGCCAGACTGTTTGAACACTAAAAACATTAGCCAATATGTGAAATGAATGATTGAAAGAAAAAATCAAGTGATTACCTCATTAATAGTTTGAAAGAAAAAATGAAGTGATCACTTCAAGCATTCTATACAATTTAATAAATCTAGAAGAAATGTTGATAAAGTTAGCATCAATTCATGCCATAAAATTCTTAATTATAAATAAAACAGACCTTCCATAACTTGATAAATGATACCAGAGGAAAACCTGCTAATTACACAAAGTGAAAGCTTGCAAGTGTTGTCTGTGACATAGGAAACCAGGAGAAATAGCCAACGGTCACGGCTTTTATCCAGCATTGTACAGCCAGGAGGAAATAAAGTAAAAGATAAACTGTGAAAAAACAACAGTGAAATTCACAGATGATATGATTTACCCAAAAGATAAATTATTAGACTTTGTAAGAGTGTTGAGAAAGATCACTGAGTATAGAATCCATATAAACAAATCATTTCTATATCTGTGTACTAGCAACAGACACTTGGAAAATGAAAGTTTTTTAAGGAGTTACAGTAGCATCGGATTTATCATGTTTCTAATTCCCAGTCCAATAGAAGGTGCTGAGAGGATCGGGGGGAAATGCTTAGACATTTTTGAGAGACAGTCAACAGATCTAAATAGATGGATAAAAATCTCCAGAAGGATCAACAGTGTTCACTAACAATTAGAACCCACAGCAACGTTTGTTGTGGGGGGACTTTGAAAACTAACAAGCAGTTCTCACAGACTGTGAACACACTCTTGAAGGAGAGTGAAGGACACACACTTGCTGGACTGGGTGCTGTGATCATTGTAAGTACAGTGACAAGGATCACGGTGTCTCGAAGCAGAGACAGATACACAGATCTAAGGACCAGAACAGTGTGCTCAGCACATACTGACTGTGACTGGACAACCCCATTCTCCTGGCTGTTTTAAACATACTGTGCGAGGAGTGGAGACAGCATGGTTTTAATAAATGGCATCTGGATCATTCCATCATATGGAACAAAGACTGACCAGTGACTCAGCACACAGTCGACTCCATTGGGTTACGAACCTTGGAGAAGGGAAAATCATAAAACGTTTAGATGAAGGCATGTTTTTTTAATTACTTAAGGACAAGGAACAATTTCTTAAACAGAGCACAGTGCACTAATTACAATAAAAATATTTTCCATATTTGAGTACATTAAAAATAAAAATGTTGATTCATCAGAAGAGAGCATAAGTGAATGAAAAGGCAAGATATGGAAGATACTAGAACACACATAACTGTCAGTGCTCTAGCATTTACACACACACACACACACACACGCACGCACACACATATACTATATGTCATTGACTCTGTGCATCCCTCCCTGTCCCCAGAACCCACAGTGATGTTTGCTAAGGAGCAGCAGGCACGCAGCGAGGTGCAGGCTGAAGTGGGAGCGAGCGCCACACTGAGCTGTGAGGTGGCCCAGGCCCAGACAGAGGTGACATGGTATAAAGATGGCAAGAAGCTGAGTGGGAGCTCGAAGGTGCGTGTGGAGGCCAAGGGCTGCGTCCGGCAGCTGGTGCTTCAGCAGGTGAAGAAGGCAGACGGCGGGGAGTACAGCTGCGAGGCCGGGGGCCAGAGGGTCTCCTTCCACCTGGATGTCACAGGTGAGTTCTTGGGTGCTACTTTAGCTTTGATTGCAGGTGACAATGGGACTGGCTTATGTCCAGACAGACCCTGGTGCTCTCTCCACTAGACCTCATCTCTTCACATACCTCATTCTTTCACCTCTCATTTCTATACCCACGGCTGAGCCCAGGGACCTTAGATGGGAAGGGTGTGCACAGAAGAGAGAGGGCCCTTTGTGTACGTCTTCATGGTGTGTCCACATTCAGCACTTGGTCAACTTCCCCAGCACCTCCTTGCAACTACCATTGATCCTGGATGTCTGGGACTCTGGCCCTATTTGGCACGTTGGGCCGAGGTAGACCAGATGTTCCTCACCTGAGGCTGGTCTACCTACTCCCGCGG